GAAATATGATAGCAAAATAATGGACTTGCCTCATGTGCCTTGTCCTTTAAAGCCTCTTTTTATTAGAAGCAGGAAAAATAAGCTTAGGTGACAGAGCAGCTCTTATTTATAAGAGCATAAACAGTGAAGAACAATATTCTCCTTCCACCAGCAGCCACCTGGCTAGGAAAAAAAGCTCTCCAAAGAATCCTGAGGGTCAAAGCTGGGGAGAGAGGGTCCCTTTTCTGTGCCTGCCACCTTGGCTGTGGGTTTGTTGCCCTTTGCTGCTAATTGAGGTGTCATTCAACAAGGGATTCTCCAGTTCCCAACCCCTCAGGAGTCACGGGGTAACCTTAGACAGCTCCAGGTAGCTGGTGCAGAAAGGTGAGGCCACAGGACATGAGGTCCTTTGTCACAGGAAAAGACCTCAGGCATGGTCTGGGAGCTTGTCTCACTCTAAAAGCTTCTCAGTCAGGCTAAACTAAGTGTAAAAAATCTGGATATGTGTGGGGAAAACACATGGATTTGGAAGGAGATGATGCACCGTGTTGATGGTGTTGCTCAAATCCTGGGAAATAAGTAGAGTGGCAATGCAGTTTTTATCCCCAGAGTGGTTTGGGTGATCCAGGACAGAGCACACTTGCTGTGCTTGGTTCTCCCTCTGTTGCCATTTGCCTGCTGGACTGAGAGATGTGAAAGCTGCTGGTGCAGACATGTGTGGGATTGATTTCCATGGATGCACAGCCTGAACTGTGTGATGGATGCAGATAAGGAGCTTATTGTGTTGCAAGATGATCTCTGTTTCTGACATCATGTGCTTCAGAAAGGAGGTGACTATCAACCCACACATAAAAACTGCCCAGAGACCATGGATGGGAAATTCCTCCCCTTGCTCTCGAGCTGGGGCTTGGCTGAGGAAGGAAAATGAACCCTATCTATGGGAATTATCCACGGGATTTTGTCCTAGAGCAGCTGTGGCTTCTCCATCCCTGGGAGTGTTCTAGGCCAGGTTGGATGGGGCTTGGAGCAGCCTGGGCTGGTGGGAGGTGTCCCTGCAGGGGATGGAATGGGCTTTAAGATCCTTCCAACACAAACCAATCTGTGATTCTATGATGGTTGATCCAAAAAAATTTGGCTTTTATGCAATTGCTGTGTCATAGCACTAAGGTTAGTCAGAATTTCCAGCAGAGAAAACTAATTATAAATAACATTGAGTATAATTCCTGCAGTTATTTTTAAGTAATTACTTTTCCTCGGGGCTAACTAATTTAATTCCAATTACAGTGGTGAAACACTCAAGTTTGGTCCCTGCTATTAAAACCTTTGGCCAGAGAACTTGCATCAGCCACCACGACCTACAGCTGAGCACTGATTGCTGCCACCTGCATCACCTGAGTTTTGTCTTGTTTATTAACTTTTGGGGCAGTTTTCCAGCTGTTCTGAATTATCCCATTGAAGCCAGCAGAGCTGCTCTGCTCAGCACCAATAAAGGTACAGCTGATTGTGCTTTGAGGCAGTAAAGAAAAGGGTGAACAGTGCAGTCTGTGCTGTTCCAAGCAGCTCACTTGGAGCCTTTTGTACCCTTACACCTCACAGCTCCTTGGTGGAACCTTTCCCTCCATCTCAGAGCACTCCAAGAGCTACATGTCCAAATGCACACACCTCCCCAGGGCTCACAGCAGCTGCTTGGGGACAACAATCACAGCTTGTGTCAGCTGCCAGAAGAACTCGTGTGTTGGCTTTTTCATAGGCTCCTGCTCCATGAGCATTCCCTTTGTTTCCAGGGGGATTCAGGCCATCTGACAGCCTTTGTCAGGAGCAGAGCTTTGCCAGGGGATGAGTAACACCACTTAGGTCTGGCTCAGACATGCAAAGTTGATTTTTGCTCTGGGAGAGGTTTCTGTGCCCTGTCAAGACTCAAGGTCCAACTCTCTAACCTGCTTAAGCCTAATGTGTCTTAACCAGGTGAGTGAGACTGAGATGTTCCTTCAGGCTCACATCCTGAATGTTCCACTTACACACAAACAGCTCAGCATAGCTGCAAGACACCAACTAAACTTTGTTCTCTAGTTAAACCTCTCACCCCCCACCACTGACTGGGGGAGCTGGTTT